GACCCCGCGGTCCGCTTTGTCCTCGTCCTCCTCACCCAGGAGGGCCCTCCTGGCCCGCTGCTCCCCTCCTCTGGCATCGCCAGTATTGTCTCAGACTGTTGCGCGGGAAGCGGCCCCTTCCCACCCCACCGCGGGTAGATGGTGTCTTTCCACTTCTTCCAGCTCAGAACTTCCAGGTTCACCGCCTGACTGGCCTCTGCAGCCTCTTTGCCCGTCCTGCTGGACGCCTTCAGGCCTTGCTCGTTTTTCTTTGGGATCAATGGTGAGCTTGCCGATCAGCCAAGCAATGTACGTGAAACTTCAGTAGAAACAGTGCAAGGTGGCCAGGCTTCCCTGCAACCGCCCACGGGGACTAGCCGATGTCTGTCTTGATTCACTGTGCCTGGGAATTATGAGTACCGTAAAAGGCAGGCTTTGAAATCTGAACGTCAGTGAAGTCCTGCATGAAGCTCCTTGGACTTTGTTATCAACACAATTCTTTATCAGTCGGATTTTTAAGCTCTTCAAATAATGATATTTTTTTCCTAAAAAGAAGTACTCTTTTTTATAAAACCACGTTGCCTAACACCAGTGGCATTCCTATAGTGCACCATATTCACATTCATGACTGAACTTTGTACCAGCCTCTCCATTAGTTTGCCCAGGACCATCAGTATCTTACAGTCCAATATAGTCTTAAGCTGCACCAGGGGAGGTTTAGGTTGGACATTAAGAAAGATTTCTTCACAGAAGGGGTGATCGGACATTGGAATGGACTGCCTGGGGAGGTGGTGAAATCACAGTCCATGGAGTTGTTTAAGGAAAGACTAGGCGTGGCACTTGGAACCACAGTCTAGTTGACATAGTGGTGTTCAGTCATAGCTTGGACTCAGTGATCTCAAAGGTCTTTTCCAACCTAATGGATTCTGGGGTTCTGTGATTATCTGTCCATCATGGCCTTTTCAAATACCAGCGTGATAAGAACATCATTTAAGACTTCTGGATTTTGAGTTCCCTAAGTTAAAAATCAACAACAAGGGAGATCTCCGATCAGGGTTTGTTTTGTTGTTGTCATTTTGTTTGGTTGTTGTTTGTTTGATTTGTGTTTTGGTTTTTTTAGGACTGCTAAGAACATTTACATATCAGCAGGAAAATACTTAATATTTGTATATAATACTTATATATATAAGCAAATACTTAATCTGTTACACGGGGATGTTAACATATGTTAACACCCCTGCGATGCTTTGTAACTGGAAAAAATGTAAGGATGAAAAAAAAAGAAAAAGTCTTAATTTATAAACAGTGAAGGTCAATAAAGGAGCATAGTTACAAAAAATGAAACAATGTGTGTCATTAAAATTACACCAAGGAATAATATTTTCCTTTTGCCACATTTCATGAGAACTGATGAATGGCCAATTACCCTCATTTGACCCAAGATTTACTTGAAATGAAGTCCTCTTTGAACTTGTTTTCCCGCTCCTATTGTTAAAGATGTCTATCAGAGCCTCCCAAAGTGCTTGCTCTGGGTGATCTGTTCTTTCTCTACCTCACTTTCCCTGCCAGCTCCTTCCTCTTTTTCCTGTTTATCTGCTTCTCATTTCCTATCATTAAGTACTAGATCATTACACAGAGACCCGGAAGATTTGATGGTTTCCTTCTCCCTTTGTTCAAGGACTTCTGACTAATATTTCTATTGTATTTGCTAATTAGCCTGTTCTAGGGAAAGTTTTATGCTGCTTTCCCATTTATATTTTTCTGAAGAAATACTGGTAAAACTTTTTATAGCATGTACAAAAAAATCTTTAAATCATAATTTCCTTCCTAAACTCTTTGTGAGTAGTGTGGGTATAGCCCATTTATTACATTTGGAATGGGATGCCTCATGCTTCCCTGTCCCTATTTAGTCTGCTAATTTTAGGGAGTTGTTTCTGGATGTCCTGCCATAAGAAATAAACTGAAAAAGTGGTGAAGCTGAAGTCATTAGTAAACAGGACAAGCAGGAGCAGACCTGCAGTCTCTGGACTTGCAGAAAAGTCCA